TAGTGCAGCAACAGTAATCTCATTGTACAGGTGTCTCTCCCACACTTTGTATGGGTAAAGTCCGTCTTTTCAAATCTGTGGGCACAGGTAATGTTGACAGAGCCTGGAGCTGTTTACAACCACGCCTCTTTCCTCTACCATCTGCCCAGGTCTTGGAACAGAGAGAATCCCTCTGCTTTTGATTGTTGAGTTCCAGGTTGATCCATTTGCCCTTGGGATCTTCCAGAAGTCTCCATGATGCCACATGATTGGGTGTCACATTTTAATAGATTCTTAACATGTTCTTCTCTCCCCACTGATTTTACGTATTCAATTTCCCACACTGAAGACTATTTTATTAGTGAACTACCCTTTCTCCACCTATGAATTAAAGGTTGTTAAACTCTACTAGGCCAGCTTTCCCTTGTACCAGCCAATACATTTCTATTTTCAAGCCTTGTTGGAGTTTCTGCCTTATATCTAAAAAACCACTGAACAAGTGGGACTGTTCTCATTGGAAAGAGTTGTCCTCAAAGCTTCATTCCCTCTCTGACCTCCAGAGTCATCGTAGGGTCACCCTGAGAGTCCTTCTTGTGGGCCGCAAAGAGGTCAAACGATTTTCCTTAGTGCCTCTCTACAATCGTGTTTCAGAAGTGTTATTAAAATTGGTGAAAGGCTTTCTGTCCCAGCTGTGCCTATACAAAAGAATCTTATTGATTGGACCATTAGTTACCAACTGACCAATTTTTTCTTTGCTGATGGAAATCATGGGCATTTCCAAAACGTGCAGTCCTCATGTCACCTAGCACAACAGACCAACCAGGGGCCACATCAGCTGTGTGTGCACCTCCACCCAATAGCAAGGTTTCTAACCATTAAGCACACTCAGGAAAGAAATGAGAGCAAACTAATGAAAGGCCAAAAACTTCTATTACTACTCCTTGCCCCTAGGGAAATATTAGGCCTAAAGGAGCCTATCTTCAAGGACAAGATGAAGGTTAAAAGATGTGCTTCCCTTAAGAAAACAATTAGCAGCTGTGCTAAGGTTTCCTTGAGACACTAACAATAATATCAACAACTTCTTTCTTAGCCATTAGAAAGGAAAGAAAAAGGATTGAGGGTATAATACAACCTTTAGTTTTGATTGAGAAAGGTACCGGAATTGCTCAATGTCCCATGAAATCCATTTGAATGGATCCTGTTTAAGCGTGCCAGCTGGAGGGAATATTATTTATAAAAGCAACAGGCAACATCCAGTAAGGAAACAGAACCTGTGAAATAATGTGGAAAATTTTTATTTCTAAACTTCCATTCTTAATGGTTTTCTCACTGAAGGTTTATATAAATTAAACAGATTTTGTTTGAGTATTTCCAAAACTCCCCAAATCTTTCACTGAATGGAGTGCTTTCTGAACACTTTTTGCATGGAATTTCACAGACCCAAGGGCAGAGATACAGCTGGGAAGATTTTGGATATCATTAAATTTAGAAATTGCCTTGTAGATCAAGATGAAGTCAGAGTCTCTGTTTAAAAATCCATTGTGATTGCTGGAGCATGGGAGCCCTGTGGGCTGTGCAGGATGTAGGATCACCTCAGCATGCCTTGCCTTCTCTCCTCAGGCTCCCGGGGTCACTCTTGGAAAAGAGAATATTCAGGAAGTCACAGAGCTCCTTATGAAGTAGCCTATTTTTCACCACCTGTGCTATGATAAATGAGGTTGCGTTGGTGACAAACTCTTGAATCCAAACATGCTTGTTTACAGAGAAACAATGAAAGGGATTAAAAGTCTTTAGTATGGAACTAGTTTGGTAGTTGTTCAAGCACACGAGCTTGATCTTTAAGAAAATCTAGATACCTAAACAGGAATACCACAATAGCGCTGTCAAACTCTTTGACCAGATTTTGTTTTTTGATAAAACAAAAAATTAAGGTATCTTCAAGTGTTTTCTTAAAGAGTTTTGAGGAGTATTGACTAAGAATGGAGAGTCACTTAGAAAAGGTTTGAGAATAGCATTTACTGATTTTCTAATCTATTAAAACACATTAATATAAAAACACATCACCCACAATGGCACAGAGTAACAGTTCAGAGACACAGTCTAGAAATTAACAAGTTGTATTAGCAGTATCTGTCTTAGAACATCAAGAGTACAACTTTTGAAATACGACTTAGAGCTAAAACTCTGAGTAGAAATATCTCCTCATCAGTCATAAATGGTGACTTTCAGGTCAGCAGGAGCCTTAGAGACCATTTTGTTCAAAGCTGATGCAAGACTGGAACCTCTCAGCAGCATCCCAGTACTTCAAGGACAGTCCACTATGCTCCATCAGGAGTTTCTCTAGTTCTTAGAGGTTTATATCCCTCCATTCATGGAATAAGTGGGTGAAGCAGTCTCCTGGACATGACACTTGGGTTTTCCAGAAAGGTCCACATCCCTAGGTGTTTCTGGGAGGTTCCTCCTGATGGGTCTCTAACTGCTCCAAACGTACACATTCTTCCTTTTATTTATAGCCAATGATGTACATTTTATGTACAATATATATACATTCACTTTTAGGGAGGGCCAAAGATTTTTACTAGTTAAATAGAAGATGAACGATTATAGATTATCAATATTTGAGGCTCATCAACTAAACTTAGCACATTGTTAAAATTTAAGGAAGAAGATATTCCGTAAGAAGATATTCCATATTTAATGCAATGCTTGGCAGTACTAGAAAGCTACTTCTATGAACATGAACAAGTAGTTGATTTTTGGTTTTTAATTGCTGCATTTTTTGGTTTTAAATTATAAATGAATATTACTTTAGCTTTATCATTTTTTATTTAATTTGTTGAGAATTATTGGTCATTTATTGAGGGTCATTAGGTTACACATTATTTGGATATTTGGTTGATGAGTATTAGCATTAATAGTATTTCAAGTTTATATGTTTCATTTGTTAATTTTATTTAATTTTTAGTTTGTTTTATTTTTATTACTACTTATCTCCAAATTCTATATCTTTCAAATAACTAGTCATTATGATATGTGCATATTAAGGTTTAAATAGGAATCATCCATATCATCCATATTAAAGATGTGTATAGTCCCCATACTACCACTTCAGCCCACTTCTATCAAATGGCTAGTAACATGAAACTCATTGATGAGATGTACTAACTGAATCTGTGAAGACTAAGTGGTTACATGCCATCAATATACATGGGATAAAATTAATATATTGATTTTTGTTTTCTAGGATGCTTCTTTATAGCATAATGTATGTATAAGCTCAAAGCGCAAATTGTTTATTTTTTTCTTCTTAGTTGTCACTGGGTTCTTTTTCAATTGGAAAGGCAGAATGAATCAGAGAAATGGATTAAAACCTCTGACTTCCTTTATTCTTCATCACCGATGTAGACTGCAATTTTATTTAAAAGGTGAAGAACCACTGCCTTAATCCACAGCATACTCTACAATGTGTTTAAGTTAGAGAGGAGTACACACAAGCCTTTTGCTAAGGGACGTAGTTGGATTGCCAAAGAGACCATTTAAGCATAAGGGAAACTAAATGAGTGAAATAACTAGTCCATCTGTGACTGTCCTGTACCCAACCTGTGCATTTTCAGAATCACAGACGAAATAGGCAGCCATTTATCGTATAAGAGTATTTCAAGATGTTAGTAAGGGTTGGCTTTAAGTGAATTTGAAATCCATGTCCTCTAGAGATGACTGTCTCTGGTTCTTCGGAGGTTTAAACTAATCTATTCTTCCTGCTGAGGTGAAGATCACAGTAATCTTGAATTGAATTTTGTAATGATCTTAGAAATAGATCCATTTACATATTCACAGGGTATGCATCCAACAAAAGTCTAATATACAGAATCTATAAGGAACTCAAACAATTGAACAAACAAAAACTAAATAACCCCATTAAAAAGTGGGCAAAAGACATGAACAGACACTTCTCAAAAGAAGACATATAATTGGCTAACAAACACATAAAAAAATGTTCCACATCACTAATAACAGTGAAATGCAAATTAAAACCACAATGAGATACCATCTCACAAGAGTCAGGATGGCTATGGTTAAAATGTCAAAAAAACAACAGGTGCTGGTGAGGCTGCAAAGGAAAAGGAAAACTTATACTCTGTTGGTGAAAATGTAAATTCATTCAGCCTCTGTAGAAAGCAGTTTGGAGATTTCTCAAAGAACTTAAAACAGAGCTACCATTTGACCCAGCAATGCCATTATTGGGTGTACATATCCAAAAGAAAACCAATCTCTCTACTGAGAAAACACATGTAGGTTCATCACAGCGCTATTCACAATAGCAAAGACATGGAATCAACCCATTAACGGTGGATTGGATAAAGAAATTGTGCTGGAGGCCATTATCCTCAGTGAATTAACACAGGAATAGAAAATCAAATACCACATGTTCTCACTTTTAAGTGGAGACTACCAGATGGGAGAGGGAGGGAGCGGGGCAAGGGTTGAAAAACTATTGTGTACTCTGTTCAGTGATGGGATCATTCATATCCCAAACCTCAGCATCATGTAATATGCCCAGGTAACAAACCTGCACATATACCCCCTCAAGCTAAAATAAAAGTTGAAAAAAATAATAAAATAAAAATATTTTTTAAAAAGAAAGAAATCGTTTTACTAGAGAACAAGAATAAAGACCATCTCTCAAGCTTCACCACCTCCAATGTTCTGACCATGCCTTGGTGATAACTTTAATAGAGTAATTTTTTAAAAGAGGAACAATGTTTTCATCAGTGTGCTTTTCTCCAGGTATTTTGAAATCAAATAGTAAAACTTGTGTGTATATTTATTTTTAAAATATGACAAATCAAGATAATATGGAAATGCTGAATGAATCATGATTTGTGTAGTGGATGAATTATGTCACCTATACAGGCCTGCGTTCCAAGATGTAGGTCTGTGATATTTGTAGGACTGTCTGGGCCAGCTCTACAGAATAAAAAAATTACACAAAGTAGGGAAAATTCCCAAAATGCCGAACCTTTTTCAGAGAAGTCAATTTGTCCTTCATTGATTTGAGGAAGAGCAAAAGGAGTAAAGGTTTCTCAGTAGGCACCAAATATGCATTTGGTCTGTTAAGACATTAGATCTTGGTAGCAAACTTCAAAGGGCAGTTTCTGGTGCTTTTTCCAGCATCTGCTTTTCTTGGGCCACACAAAACATCCACCGTGTCCTTAGGGAATAAAGCCTGAAAGAAAAAGAACAGATCTCAGTTGTTTAGAAAATTAGCTTATTTTTATTATTCTAAAGGTGAATGATTAGCCTAAAGTCTTGGAAATGTCTGACTTTAAGGATCTTGTAATTTATACTGACATGGTTTATGGTGTCTTTAAATACGGAACCAATCTGTTCTTAAATATTTAATTAGCGTGGAAGAATTAGGTGTGGTCTGTGGAAGAACGCCTTGTGCTGTCTATTGTCATTAACTCAGCACTTCTCCCCTGCCCAGACACAGCTGTGCAATGTGCAAGGGCTGTCCTGAAATAACTGGACCAACATATAAATGTCAAAACAATAAACGAATGCTTCCCTTCAACTTGATCATTTGGTCAAATGCTAACTTCTTACTTCTCTGGTGCAGTCTCACCAGTACCTAGACAGAAAAATGAGAGGTATATACCTCAACTCTCCCCATGTAAAATCCTTCACCAAGGTCAGCAATCTCCTACCCATTATTTGCTAAGAATTTTTTTTTGCCTTTGAGACTGAGACTCACTCTTTTTGCCCAGATTGGAGTGCAGTGGTGCGATCTCAGCTCACTGCAACCTCTGCCTCCTGGGTTCAAGCGATTCTCCAGCCTCAGCCTCCTGAGAAGCTGGGATTACAGGTGCCCACCATCATACCTGGCTAATTTTCGTATTTTTAGTAGAGACGGGGTTTCGCCACGTTGGCCAGGCTGGTCTCTAACTCCTGACCTCAGGTGATCCGCCCACCTCGCCTTCCAAAGTGCTAAGATGATAGGCATGAGCCACCGTGCCTGGCCATTTACTAAGAATGTGAAGACTTGACTCCATGATTCATTTTTCAACATTCACCCGATCATTTCAAGAAATTTAAAACATCCTTCAAGTTCTATATATGTGGCCTCGAGAAAAGGTTAAACTTCTCTTGAGTAATTAGAAACCATAGGGAAAAGTGCATCACACTTTAGAGTCATCTGGTAGACTACTAACAAAAAGGCAAAAGAAGAGGTTCATTAGAAGTAGCATGATCTTTGTTTGCTAATTACTATTTTCCTGTTCATTTAATAAATACTTGGTCATTATCTGTTACGAACCAGGCTCTGTGCACACATAGTGACAAGCAACATAAAGATGATTGCCTGTGTCTCTTCTGGTACTTTCAGACCCGTGGAGGACACCATCAAATTAACAGACATTTGCAATGCAGAGTGTAGCATGCTAAGACAGGGTAAATATGCATCTTTGTGACAACATGTGGGAATAGCCCCTAATTGAGCCTGAGAACAGGTGGGGAGGTCTCTCAGAAGAAATGACATATAATTGGAAATATGAAGTGCCCATAGGAATCCAGGTGACAATATCAAGGAGAAGGGTATTATATTTAGTCCCTTGAAAAGGAATAAGGGCATTTCTTGGAACAGAAAGTTGTCCAGAAATCAGGGTAAGGAGGTAGGCATTGCCAAGAGCAGTTGGTAGCCATCAGGTGATTTTCAATATACTAAGATTTATATTACAGAAACAGACTGGGAGCAATGTGGAGAGAGGATTGGAGAGCATGGGCCAAGGTTAGCTACTGCAGCAAACCTGGTTGGGGGCATATACTGGCTCTCCTTTGGAAAGAAGTAATGAGGATAGACACGGAAGCCATACGGGTAGGATGGTGAGAGATGGGAGATGTCTAGAGGGAGAACCCAGTATGCTGCTCCAAGAGCTTGGGTCAGAGGGTGGAAGGTGGCAGCAGTCATGGAGACGGGGGAGTCTGTTGAAGAGCAGGCTGGGGAGTAGGCTGAATTTGATTTTGAACACACTGCCTTTTGGAACATCTAAGTACATGTGGTGGTCAAGAGTAAGTTGAAAATGCAGATCTGAAAAAGAAAGCGCAAACAGGATTGGAAACAGTTTTAAATAGAAGTCAAGGAAACAAATGGGAAATTTAGGTCCTCTTTTATATGTTTTCCTAGAATTGTTTTTTGGTAATTAACTTTATAAACATCCTTTGGAATCTTTAAAGGGGAAAACATCATCTCCCACCTTTGTCTTGCAAATATCTATGACAGCTCTATAATTTCTAATGAGTTTCTTTATTTTTAACATTATTGCTGGGAATCAAAGAGAAAAGATAGCAGGGAACAAAAGAGATTGCTATAGGAGGAGCTAGGTGAAGAACACCTACACCATGAAATACAGTTTTAATATACAAAAAAGGAATAGTTCTAATCTCATAAAATATTTGCAAAGAAAATTAGATGCATGAAGAAGTACAACATCTTAGTAGGCTTTTATTGGTCCATTTTTTAAAGGTTACTTAATTCCCAGTTTACTAATTTCCAGAATTAGTGCTTTTGTGTCTTTGTTGATTTTTATGGAGTCAATTAAATACAGCTCAGGGACATGGCAGTATCTTTCCCCAACTGTAGCCCCCACAACTGTTACTAATAACAACACAAACACAGACAAAGGATCTTTAACAAATGAGAATAACATACTGGTGGCTTGAGTAGAGTCGTGAAGGAGAAAATGTACTCTATTTTTTAGTAAGTTATCCATTTTCCCAAAAATTTGCATTGTGAAATGGAATGAAAAATAAAACGTGAACTCATATGTATTACCTACTTTTCATTCATTCTAAATTTATTTTCTAAGACTCAGAATTGTTTTTAAAACAGTCTACATTGTCAGGTCATGATACACCTTATATAGCAAAGGGAGAAAAACAGTGCAAGGCTCACATACAAAAGATACCCAGATGCCTTTCGCAGTCTCAAAAAAAATCAAAGATGCCTGTAGCAAGCGTGTGTGTTTTTCTGGTCGATTTTTAGTGAAGAGTTTGGTAGATACATTCTTGCCCTGACCAGTCTTCTAAGGTCAGTGGTTTCCATTTATTTTTGTAGAGACTGAAGAAAAGGAATGACTACCTTGTGTGTTAGTCTTTGAGGGTTGCCATAACAACATGCCACAGACTGGATGACTTAAACAATGGAAATGTATTTGCTCGTCATTATGCAAGCTGGAAGTCCATGATCAAGGTTCCAGGAGGTCTGGCCTCTCTCCTTGGCTTGCAGGCTTCTTGCTGTGTCCTTCCATGATCTTCCCTCTGTACATGGGCATGTCTAGTGCCTAAATTTCCTCTTCTCACAAGGACCCCAGTCAGACTGGGTTAGGGTCCATTCTGAAGATCTCATTTTAACTTAAATATCTCTTTAAAGACTTTATGTCCAAATATGGCTACATTCTGAGGTACAGAGGGATAGGACATCAATATATGAATTTGTGAGGTGGGAGACACAGTTTGGCCCACAACATTCTCTTGCCTCAAGTTAGCATGCAGGAGATTAAGAACAATGCTAAAGGTTTTTGAGGGAAAAAAAAAAGGAAAGTTTCCTTCTACCCCTATGACTTTATAATCTACAAATGAACTAAAAAACAAATAAAACTATTCTTCTTTATGAAAAAGTAAAAATTTAAATTTTTCTAAACACAGAATGTTAAACCACAGCTTAAGAACATATTTTGGCAACCTATGGGAATCCTAATTGAGTATCTGTTAATGCTCTGTTTTCAGCAAACTCACCTAGCAAGCTTAGCAAAGAGGCAAAACCTCCAAGGCTGGTGAGTTATTTATGGTTAATTCTGAGGGTTGCCACTTCTAAATTTGTACAAGCTGCAGCTCAGTTCATGTTTTCTGTAAATAAGTACTAGGGGCATTCTAATTCCAGTTGGGTTTGGAGGTTAAGCCCCAAAAACGAATTTTTCTCCTAAAATACTGTGTCTTCTATCTTCAAGATTTTGTATTCTTATCCTATTAAAAATCAAAAAAAGCTATGTTTTTTAAGTTCATAAGACGTTGGTATTAATTGTAGTAAAAATTAAACATTTAAAATCAAGTCTGTAATCATAAGAATAAATTGTGCTTTAAAATCTTTAAAATCTTCAAAACTGTGTGTGTGTGCATGTGTATGTATGTGTGTGCACGTGTGTGTGCGTGCACTTCTCCAGTCATTGAATTAACAACCCATGTTGCATGTTGAGTATTTTTATAGTCTGAGCTTTCTCACATTACTTTCTTCCCAACAAAATTCAATGCCTATATTACGTGTGTGTTTTTTTTAAGTAGTTGTTATTAGAAAATAATCATATAATACTGATAAGGAAACAACTTATCGAGGTATTAATCACTGGTTGTGACATACTTATCGTTAAGAGTCTTGGAAATAAACAAAATGAATACATAAAGGTAATCCCTAATGATACAAATTCAACTATTATAGCATATTCAAATTCATTAATATAAACATAATTAAAAATACACTTGAAAGTAAAGTACACATACAAACATATGTACACAAGTACTCCTGATTAACATATGATCTTTAAATATTATAATTCACATTATGATTTCACATTATGAAAACTTATATATAACTTACATAATAAGAATATTATATCAAAAAATCTTGTGAAATAAAACTTAGATATAAGGAAAATCATAACATTAATTGCAAGTTTTTTTAAAACTGTAAATAAGTTAAATTGCTTATTTAAAATGCAAGATAAAAATAGCATACTAAATTCAAATAAATAGAAGGAATTAAACAATTAAAGTAATAGAAAAAATATGAACCCTGGCAAATCAAATTTTAAAAAAGAAAAAGAACAACCCAGTAGAAAAATAAGCAAAGTTATGAGAAAGCGAAAGTTACAAATAAAACTGAATAGCTAGTAAATATATGAAAATATCTTTAATCTCACTAATATTCAGGAAAACAGAAATTAGTACAGTGAGGTACAATTTCATACTCATCTGAATGGATAAAACTGAAAAGACTTCAAATACTAGAGAAGAAGTGAAAAATAGGAAGTCTTGTAAAATGCTGGTAAGAGTTTACATTGGCGGAATCACTCTAGAGCCATGAGGCAAACTCTGATTTGGATGAAAATGTACGTGTCCTCTATCTGTGCAATCCCACTTCTGTGTATGTACCCTGAAGAAACTCCCACACCAGGAGAATCGCTGAAAAAAGATCTGGACAATATAATAGCATTAATGTGAAAATTTTAAAAGACATATGATAAAGGCATAAACCATGCCTGTGATAAAGGATATGTAAAAGAACCAGTGAAAAAAATTGAGTAACAACTTTGTAAGAAACGTGGAAAAAATTACAAAATTCCAAATAGTGATTGCCTCTCTAGGAAAAAAAATGGGAAAACAGAACCAGGGATTAGAACAAAGTCGATATAAAACTTAGTAAATAAATATGACACACACACATGCATACATGTATATTTAATATATAATAAGTTAACATTAAGAGCTAAACCAAATCACCAAAACCCAAACTGTTCACATCTAGCTAAAAACCAAACCAAACAAAAATGCCCTGGAGCATGGGCATCTTTAAACTATGTCACATGTGTCAGCAAGTCCTGTCTATTGTGGGTTATCTTGGGGCTTCGATCTCCTAAATATTGAAACTGTAGCCAGAATAGCTAACGTTTTCAAGCAATTATTATATTCTCCACTAAGCCAAAGAAAGGAGTTATTCTGCAGGTTGATAGAATTTGAGGGAAAAATTTAATCGTGCCCACATTAAAAGGCTTAGCCCTCTTCTAATAGATGATCTTATTCTTAGGTTATTGTCTGTGTAGCTCTTATTCAGAAACTATAGCTTGGAGCAAAATTCAAGCGTTAACATTCCTATAACTCCTTTCTCATTTCACAGTCCCACCTTGTTCTTTTTCACTAATGGGTTGATAATAGATAATCAGGTAGTTAATTATCCTATGGCATGTAATTTATACCTCTATCACTTTTATTTATTGTTTGAATTATTTTATTAAAATTGCATTTCATCACAATTATTTTATGTGTTCACCACTTCCAAAATTTTTTAGGCTTTTGATTCACTGTTCTATTGTCCAATGGAGGGCACATTCAGAGCTCACTAAATAAATACTGATTCGAACTTCTTTGATCTCTTCTGGTCTCTGTTTGTATTACATTATAAATATAAAATAGTAAACTACTTGAGAACAGGGACATTATGTTCCATGTACCCTCCTTATACTACTTGCCATCATACATATAGCAATTGCTTCACATTATTTGAATGGTTGTTTAGGTAGAAGGATAATATTTTTGTTTGTTTTCTTTACCAAAGCAAAGCTGTATTTCTGTTAATCTTCAGAGGGTACCTGTGCTTGAAAGCTAGTATTTCTTTGCAGATGACCTGTTTGTGCTCCTAGAATTAATAAACCTATTAATAGAAAACCTGGATTTTCTAGATTTGCAAGATCAGATCACTGCAGTTAGCAATAAGTGTTAGAATAAGCTGTATAAAAACCAATTCAGTTAAATTTTCTGTCTCAGAAAATGTCTCAATTTTTAATCAAGACAGAGAACTTGAAAATTTCTCTTCTATCACACACCAAAAAACTTACACAATGTTTACTGTGCATCCACAATTAAGTGACAATTAGAGATCAGCTTAAGAAAATGGAAATCATAATTATGAAAGGTAAGAGAATATGCCATCCCAAAATATGCCACTTTGACATAAGAATTATTTTGAGCTGAGGGCAGTTGAGCTATGAAAAAGCCTCTCTTCCCTCTTCCTATTTGTCTAAAAGCAGGGCATAAATTGGTAAAGGTGTTCTGACTCCCCTCTCTGCCTGAATGACAGAGGTTAATCACCAGAGATGTGCCTAGACCCTTATTAGCACAGAGATGGCACTAGAGGAATCTACAAAACAGATTACTAACCAGCCCTTATCTTTCATTAGTTCCCCCATATATTAACCTTCCCACAATTTGTTGCCCTAGAAACTCAAAGTCCTTTTCCTTTGTCTCGTCACTTGTCTAAAAAATTTATTGTTCTTTTGTTAAACTATGCAAGTTCAAATTCTAACCACTCCTTTGAGTTACTCATCAACTGAATACTCCCATGCACGGTGTACAGATGGATATGTAAATAAACTTCTGTTTTTCTCGTTAATCTGTCTCATGTCAGTCTAATTTATAGGGCACCAACCAATGAACCTAAGATGAGTGGAGGAAAAAATAACAATAACAAAAGCAAAAGTTAAATATCAATTGTAGTGCTTAGACAAACTTTGTAAGACGTACAAATGTGTTTTATAGTATTACATGCTGTATTCACAGCATCTTTACAGGAAATAATTTCATGTTGAAAAATAAGCCAAAATTCTCACCAGGAGAATTTTTTAAAGGGAGCAACTGTTGTGTGCAAACACTAGTCTCCTGGGCACTGTCGAACAATACCTTCCCCGAGTGTCAGCTGCTAATTGTTAAACTCTCCAGTGAATAGTAAAACAACTGTGTCTTGAATCTGCAAAAACATTTTCATCTAATGAGTGAAGAAAATGTAATTGCACAATAATAAGAAGGAAAAGGGGCCAGTGTGTGGTTAAGTGTGCCAGTAGTACAAATGGGCCAGTGTGTGTGTGTGTGTGTGTGTGTGTGTATATTTTACAAAGCAGAGAAAAGCAGATTTTTAAGTTATTGGTAAACTTGACATGAAAATATTAAAACGAAATGGTTCCAAAACATTTTCTTTCTCTTCAGCCAGTCTATAAACTGTCTCAGAAAGCATATGCAACTTGAGAAAAAAAGTAAAAGTAATGATCGTGTCTTTAAATCCTATTTAAGCTAAAAGGCAGGATGAAAAGAAAATTATTTAAGCTAAAGCTCTTTCTATTTGGTCCTATGGTATGCATTGGGTATAGATAGATGACATCAAATTTTACAGGAAATTTAGAGAGATTCTCAAATAAACTGTATATTTATTGAAATTGAAATACTAAGGATAAAATTGATTCAGTTTACACATCAGGAAACACTCCATATGGTTCAGCAGTCGCACAAAATCTGAAAGGTTTCCCAAATTCACTCTGATATTTTCCACTTTTCTCAGCATGTTCCTTTTGC